TAGGATCGCTTTGTTTCAAAGTCTTAATCAAGAGAGAACAATCATACGGGTAATCCGAACACGCCGGCTAATCCGAGTATTATTTTCTTTCCGTTTGCTACTACCCTTTCCATCTGTTCACCACCCATATCGACGAGTATGAGAATACCTAGGCGGAGGAGGCAAGGGTATTAGGTTGTTGAGAGAACAACATACATACATATATACCTTATTTCCTTCATCCCCCAGTCATATAAATGGGGATCGAGATAAATTCTGTGAAAATACGTGATCTTTCTCTCTCTTCCTTCCTTTCTCCATTTCTTTTCCCATTGTTATCCTCGTGTGTTATAGAAATAACGGATGGAGGAAGGAAATCAAATTTAAACAAATAAAATCGGCAGAGTTTATTGTTAATGAACGGCATTACCGTTCTATCTATATTCGTTAGAACAAATTAAAATTTAATATAACAATTGTGTATATATATATATATCTCTGTATGGAACACGTTCCTTTTTTATATATATAATACAAGGTTAAAAAATAATAAAAAGAAAAAACAAGAAAAAGAAAAAAAAAGGGAAAAATATTTTTCCAATTTTTAAATTCGAGACTGTAATTGTATATAAAGCGTACATATTATATAAACGTGTGTATAAGTTAGAACAAATATATATTTATATTAATTGGATATAAAATCAATGTGAAAACGTAGCAACGATTAACGATAAATTATCGCTCGATATGAAATAGGAATCATGTTAATATTCGATATTACGTATATTTGACCATATGACGTACAAATGTCTAAACATTAAATAGCCGAATATCGACAGTGGCTGGTAGTTGAAGATACGTATCATAGATGGATAATGTGATATATATATATATATATATATGTGGGGGCGGTGCCGCCCGTATGCACGATGATCGACGAGTTCGCACGAGAGGGCTGTTGCTTCCCAACCCTCTTCTGCCTAACCACCCTCTAACCACCCCTTTGCAAGTCTACTTGTCTGCTTGCTTGCTTCCTTGCTTACTTGTCTGCTTGCTTGCTTGCTTACTTGCTTGCTTGCTCTCTGTGAGTGCGTGTCTGTACTCTAAAAGGGAGGAAGAGGGTAAAATCGTGCATCCGAGCGTAGGATGCATTTCCAGAGAAAGCTCGAGTACCTCCTAGGTAATCTGATGTCTTGTGGTTGCCAACTTGAATTTCTCACTGTAATGAGAAACGATTAACGATATTTCTACCGTAATAATAAGTTTACCGGCTTTGACTTTATAGAATTATCTATAATACATTAATTTAACTAATGATGTTTTTCAATTATTATTATTCAATCGTATTTAACGATTATTTATCTTTTATGTATTTCGTGCGTGTGCAAATGTTAACTGAATGACGTCGAAGATGCATATGTAACAATGCATGTTAATGACGTATTTAAGATTAAGTTGTTTTGCTGGCGTATTTAGTTGATGATATTCATTAAACGATATTACTCGAATAAAACCTAATTAAACATCATTCATGCTCGAGTTATCGTGTTAAACCGAACAGTTATCGAGAATAACCTCTCGAGTGCAAAAGGTTCATTTTCACATAATGTGATTCTTAAATATATTTATTATTATTTTTTTAATTGTTTAATGTATTTTGTCTAGTTGAAGATGGTTTGTATTATAGAAATGAAATAAACTATTCTTGTTCGCGTAACTATAATACAATACTTCGTAATCAGATTTCTTCCAATTACCAACTTGAGTTTTCGTGGTAATGAGAATGGATTAAAGATATTTCTAGCGTAATAATAAATTTATGCATTTTAACAAGCTTTAATTATTTGTTGTATGTAACAGATTTACGAATAAAATTATTCGATCGTATTTAATTAGGATTATCCGATAATTAATTTATACATGTATATATATATTTTTTTTTGTATTTGTTATATTCGTTCATTGTTACGTTATGTTAATTTTGTCGAGTTGAATATTCGTACACGCATCGGAAAGAAATAAAATTGATCTCTCAGTTTCGTAACTAAAATTGGCAGTACGATAATGGCACGAAATTAGTAAGTTCATTTAATTAGGTAAATGTTTTAGTACTTACCAAATATCGTTGGGGGTAGTCTTGTATATTACCCGACTGCGTACAGATATTCTACGAACTATGTATAATTACGAAACATGCAATATGCGAGTACCGTTGCTGTTGTTGTTGTTGTTGTTGTTTTTCTTCTTCTTCTTCTTCTTCCAGAGAAATTCCAACGAGTGTAGGAACTAGCGTGGAACATTTTCTCTTAATACGATTTTCAAGAAAATATCGGGACGGTTCTTCTTTAAGATTACGTTTTCTCCGTTTCGAATGTTTTCAAAGTGTTAAGAGGAACAACAACAAAAAACTCGATCAAATTTGACCCAGATTAGAAGGTATACCAAAAAAGGGTTCATTACAATTTTGATGGTACCTATTTTTTGTTAGCCCTGTACAACTGAATTTTGTCTCAAGGTTTCAAGATGGAAAATATATATCAAAAATCATTCGAAATTTTGTTATGAATATGTTTAAATTTATATTGAAGAAACTTCAATCATAAACTAATTTTTTATGAAATCATTCTTTCAATTTTCCATTTAATAAAAAACAAATATTTTACAAAAAAAGTATCGCAATATTGTAAAAACACTTGGCATAATTTCAACACAATTTTATTATATTAAATTAATTAGATAAAATTTAAGTGTGTTTAGAACTAAAATAAAATCTAAAAAAACGAAAAAAAAAGAGAGAAAAGATACAGTCAAACACGTGACCATTGGTCGACGTAAAAGAAATAATAAGCAAAATAATGAAATCATTTTGCAAATTTCAATCTATCGATTCTCAGTCAAATGAATATATAAATATAAAAAAAAAGAAACAAGCGGGGTGTCTGGTGTGTGACGTGTGGGGGTGTGAAAATAATATGGCGTCATTAGCGATCAGTTTGAAATTTGACGTTTCCATTCGATGCTAACTAATAAGAGCAAACAATTATTACGACGAAGTATACGTTCTGTCGTTTATATTCCTACCAAGCGAAACTCAATAAAATGGGGGCGGGGGGGGCGGGGGTCCGTTGTTTTAACGAACACGACGTATCGCGTTAATAAAGAAAGTTAAACGATGCATACGAACCGTATATGCGCGAAGGAAGATATTGGCCCGTTAATATCAACGAACCAAATCTCATAAATATCGTGTTACGTTTTGCGAAATGAAATGAAATTCTGCGATATTTTCACTGATGGAGATTAAACGTTGTTAACTTTGGAAATATTTAATAGCAACTTCCAAAAATAAAACGTTCGATCGTATGAATTAAAAAAAGAAACAAAAAAAAAACAAACGGAACGAAAGATAAATTTTTTCTTTCTTCATTTTTTTTTTTATTATTATTGTTTTCGATCTACATTTTTCACAAAAATTTCCAAACCGTGAAAGAAAATTTTGATTATAATCGAAACCAATCAAAACTAACGAACAATATTTCATTATGGTCTTGCGAACTGAAAAAAACTAAATGAAAGATATCAATTGCTATTACTGTTATTAACGTTTGTTCAACAAATCTTAAAACGATAAAAAAAAAAACATTTATAAAATATAATTATATCGCAGTAAGTCAGAGTCGAATAAAAAAAAAAATAATGCCAATTATATTTATTTACTTTAATGTAATTATATATATATATATATATATGGGAATATTTAATTTTTATGCGATTTCAAATATTATATATATCCATGCAAATCATCATGCGTGCGCGTATTCGTTTAATTAACGATTACTGAGATGTGTGTGTATAAGATTGAAAAAAAAAAAATATGTAAAAATAAAAAATGTTTCTTTCAAATAAAAAATAAAACTTGGTCGATAAGTAAGAACACGTTCGGATGGTTCAGAAGTTTCTTCATACGGTTAACAGATGGTAGGACCTGTTCGATTATACGAAAGAACTTTTCTTTTTCCTTTCTGTCTTTTTACACCCTCTCTATTCATGTAGTAACAAAGATACTTCTTGGGCAAGCAAGGGAGAATCCACAAAGGTACAGGTTGTTTCACAATATATATCCTTGATTCTTTCAATCCATCCAACAGCAGCAGCAGCAACAACACAACAACCAACGACAACTACGAGGAGAAGGAAGAAGAAGAAGAAAGACAACGTTGACTGACAACAAACCGGTTCGATGCCGACCCTAGATCGCAAATTTTTATCCTTGTCGCTGAATAATGCATTAACTGCGTTCGATCAGTGAACAAACCGAAAATGTTATATTATGATGTACGAAATAACACGGTTATGTAAATACTACCACCATCCCTGTTTAATTGTATATATATTTATTTATTTTTTTTATATTTTTTTTTTTATTTTTTTTCGGGTGGGGGGTAGAGGAAAAAACATTGGAAATATGTAATCGTTCGGAAACGTCTGGGAACCGAGGTCTCTCCGCACAACCAAAATTTTTCGCTGATATTTATATCGATGACATTTGAAACGGCGTGCGTTCGTGCTGTAGCACAAATTTTGTCCGAAAAGGGCGTTTTTTTTTTTTTTCTTTAATCTTTTTTCGGTCTTTTTTTTTAAATGAAATTTTTATGCAAATATCGAATATAGTATAAATTATACGAGATACCGATATACATGGCTTCGAACGTTCGAATTTACTCGATACTCCCTCTTTTTTTTTTTTTTTTTTCGCGTGAGAGGATTCTACCGAATCCGAAAATTTGTTATTTAAAAATGGAGAAAAAGGGAGGAAAAGAAATAAAGAAAAACAAAAAAAAAAAAAGCAAAACAATAAATAAATAAAAAAGTATTAAATAAAAAAATTTAAAAGAACATACAAGAAGAAAAAAATTAATAGAGGAGAATAATTTCCACCATCGATCTTATTTCTCCCTCTCTCTCTTTCTTTTTCTAGGAAAAAAAGGAGAAGAAAATAAAAAAAAAGAAACAAGGTAAGAAGAAAAATATAAATTCCCGGTACGGGATCAGGTAGACGTATTATCCCTCGTTAGAAGGAGCTCACTTTTCGTGCTATAAAAGATACAGAGTGGATAAGAGACTCTTAGGAGTCGAAGGGAAAGAGACAAGGAGACGACGATAACAACAACAACAACAACAACAAGACAGGGTAAGTATAATAAAAGACTAAAATTACATCGTTTTATCGGGTAATTCGTTGGTGTGTTACATAGACGGCAATACACAAAGAAACATAGAGAACAGGGGACATGTACAGGGCACGGAAGAAACTGGTAAACAAGAAGAAAGGAGTGAAGGGGTGGTAGTGGTGGTGGTGGGGGGGGGCATCGTAAAAGTGCAAAAGCAGGACAAGAAGGTTGAGAGGAAAAGGGCTCGGGGAAGGAGGTGGGTCGTTAGAAAAATTACTTAGTCGATGATGGTAGGAAAGTTTAAATAGATGGTGGTAGTGGTGGTGGTAGTGGTAAAGAAGGTGGGCAATAACAGAGGCCTTCTTCTCGTTTCTCAGGAACTAGTTGACGACGACGAGTGTCGTATTCCCTGAGGAGTGAGTTGAACGGATGCGGCCTGGCAACGTTTTCCGTTGCTTTCAACAATACTTCGTTTAACTTTCTATACTCTTCCTCACGTTTCAAACCATCCCGATAGATTTTCTCGTCCTCCTCGCGTTCCCTTGCACGTATTGTCTCGTAATATTTCTGTTGTTCCTTCAATTCTTTACCGTAACAAATCATTTTTCTTTTCTCTTCTTCCTTAACGATAGCCGACAATTTGGCGTCAGTCTCGATCACTTTTTCCAGAAGGATTTTCTCTTCCTCGATAAAACGTTTCTCTTTATCCATTGATTCCCTTTTCCATTTCAATTGTTCTTCCCTACCTAGAAGGACCTCGCGTAAATTTCGTTCTCGCATCTCCTTGAATCTTTTAACAGCCAGGTCTCTTCTAGCGTTTGCGTCCTTCATCGAATCCTCGATTATCTTATCAACTTCTAAATTTCTCCTAGCCTCCTCTTCGCGCAACTCTTCGAGATATTTCAAATAAGCGAGTAATTCTTCCCTCAGTGCGATCGAACTTTCCTTTTCGGCTTGTTTCTCGCGTTTCAATTCGTCCTTCGCCAGATCGTTCAAGGTCTCGTCTATCTTAGTTTCCTCTTTAGCGCGTTCCATCAATATTCTTTTGGCTCTGCTAGCCTGTTCCTCCAATTCCTTTTTCAAAGCTTCCCGTTTCTTTCTCTCAGTTTCCAATCTATTCGTTTCCTCTTTCCTAACGTTATCCCACAATTGTTCCAAATATTCTCTCTCCTCTTTCTTAACTCGTTTCTCTTCTTCCTCCAAAGCCAATTTACCTGCCACCTGTTTGGCCAACGTCGTCAACGCGTCCCGTTCCAAATGAAAACGGTTTTTCGCTTCCTCGATTTCCCTGTCCTCCTTAGCCTTGATCTCCCTCAACATCAATTCGTGCCAAAGTTCTTCCAACTCGTTCTCGGCTCGTCTCTTAGCCTCGTTATCCGCCATTTGCACCAGGTTACAATTCTTAGCATCTTTCGCGAATCTCTTGGTCAACTGTTCCCTCAATTCCGGACAACGTTCGATGTATTGTTGAATACGTTTCCCAGCCAATAACGCCAAACGTTCTTCCTCCTGTTGTTTCTTAAGCCGTTCGGTTTCCTCCCTCATTTCCTCCATTCGAAAATCGTCGCCATGTTGGGCTTGCTCGACAATTTCCCGCGTCAGTTCCATCTCCTCTTTCGATATCAGATCCCTTAGCTTATCCCTTCGCACGTTAATGCTCTCCTCGTATTCTGCCATTCCTGTAAATTCGAATCAACCGCAGCCCGAATTAATTGCCGGTGTAATTATCACTGTTTGCACAGTCGTCGCACAATTCCCCCATGCAAAAGTTTAGTCAATCGACTACACACAAACAAACATATTCACACATATACACACACATATATATATATATATATATTTCTTTTTTCAAACCTGTCGTTTGCGTATCCTACCCCCCATCCTATTTCCAACCTCACTCTAAACCTCAACCCTTTTCTACTTTTTTATTTCCTTTTTTGGGAATCTCTTTTTTCTCTCAACGAAGAACAAAGAGAAAGGGAATCATCAACCACCACCCTCCTCGAAAGTTCTGTTTTTCCAGCTACGTGCTCGTTTGAAAATCCCTTCTTTGTTCTCTTTTTTTTTTCTCTTTTTTTTGTCGTCCATCCAACACTCGCACCCAATGTTTTTCCCTATCAACGTAGAAAATTTTTTGTTTGTTTATACGACCGATTTCACGCCTGGTAAGCGACCAATACCTCCCCCTCCCCCACTTTTCCCCCATACCTAACCCACCCTTCGTTATAACGCGTAATCTATGTATATATTATATACATATATGTATGTATGAGGACATATTTACGTATACAAATAATTAGCTAATCCAATCGATATTTATCGAGGTTGGCTAGATTGAAAACGATGTGACGATCGAAATTCATTTTCCAACAACGTTGAAAAATAACCGCATTGGAATTTAGTAATCACCATAACAATATTCCAAAACTGATCCAAAATGCATTAATGAAAAAGAATTATCGATGATTCCCCTGGGTATCTGTTTCTGTATCTATCTATCCATCTATCTATTCATCTATCTTTCTATTACTCTCTCTCTCTCTCTCTCTCTCACTTCGGATAAATACAATCGTTATAAACGCGAAATAGGATGACAAATAGTGCGATTATTATTCACGCCAATATTCGAAGCTATTTTAAGCGTTACCACCGTATACATTTCCTTCTATATTTATCTTTCTTTTTTTCTTTTGTCAAATTTAATACATTCCAAAAACAAAAAAATAGATAAAAATTAATATTCGCAAAAAAAAAAAAAGAAAAAGAAAAAGGGAAGAATAAACAATAAAAATTCCCACGCAGGGAAGAAAAAATTTCGTACAAACTCGCCGAACCGAAAGATTATTGAATCACTTGGAACGTTATTACAAAAATGCGACAACAACAAAAAAATTAAAAAAAAAAATAAAAAATGCATAAATAAAATAACCGAAAAAAAAGAAAAAAGTAAAAAAAAAAAAAAAATACGTAAAACTAGGTTAAAGCTGTTTTCGAAAGTTTGGGCAACGGCCAGTTAGCGAAAAATAAAAAGCAATAAAAAGAAGGGGTGGGAGGGGGGGGGAAAGGAAGGAACAGAGAATACGAAATAAAACAAACTAGGCGCGTAAAAAAAAATTATAAAAAATAACAAACAAAAAAAGGAAAAAAGCAACAAGAAAGATTATCTCACGCATTGCTAGTTTCTCGATGATACGAGAGTTGGAATCGAATTTTCGTTAAAATAATCGTGAGATGAACATTGGTACGATAGGTAAAGCCATTGTTACGCCTACACAGTTTCCTATTAAATTATCGGAATTCGTGATACCGTAGGAAAAACAGAAACGTTCCTCGTTTTTACCGATTCTCGTTTCGGGTCATAATCGATGCAACGTGGCGGCGGCCTGTTATAAACTTCGTTATGGTTACGGTGATGAAAACTATGTGGGGGGGAGAGAGACACATGTGCGTGCATACGTTTATTCAACTCACAATACAAACACGCATACATATCTCGCATACACACTATACACCGAGGGTGGTGGTGGTGGTGGTATTGGGTATTCACGTATGGTATTTTAAAAGGATATAGAAAGAGGATGAAACGATAAACATCGCGAGCACGCGTTTAATTTTCACGTGATAATATTACACACGATATACAATCTATGAGGTATACGTGTACGTGTGTGTTTATGTGTTTATGCGCATATATGCGTTTACGTGTGTTATATGCGAGAACGAATATGAGAGAGTGTGAACGCATGGTGAACGGACCATCATCGATTTTATTTAAATTTTTTTATCGACATCACGTCGGTGCTAGGACGAGTTAACAAAAGGTGCTACCGGGGCCCGCGAAATCCATAATAAGCGGAGCGGCCAGGATGAAAGGGGTCATCCTGCCGGCTTTACTCACGCGTCTTTTTTAAGGATCTTTCTCTCTCTCTCTCTCTCTTTCTTTCTTTCTCTTTTTCTACCTAAAGTACGATGCATCGTAGCCAGGGCTCGATTTTCGTCCTTCCCTTTTCGTTCAACACCCGTGTGTGTAGTGTTACACGTTGACTCGCAAGAATGAATCACGCCAACTTTTTTGTCATTTATACTCCGGACGACGACGACGACGACGACGACGACGACGAGGAGGAGGAGGAGAAGGACGGAGAATGAGGATGAGGATGAGGATGAGGACGATGTTACCCCCATTGTACTCCTACGTGTTAATCTACCGGTCAGCTTTCACGAAAGAATTTTTATTTCTAACTTTATACTTACGACGTATTTCACGCGATTATTATGATCAATTTTATCCCTTAGATATTTTGAAATAATCTTTGTTGAGAAGGTGAAGAGATATTATTTGAAATTTTATTTGTCAAATTAATTAATGTTATTCTTATATTGTTCCTCTCTTTCTTTTTTTAATAAAAATATTTCTATCGCTATATATGGATATTAATTTGGAAAAAGGATGAATTAACGGTAATTAAAAATCAATTTAAAATGGTATGTAATATGTATTAAATATATAAGAATATCGATAAAAAAAAAAAAAAACTGGGGTGCCTTATTGATGATAATGCAAAAATTAACAACGACTAACCTTGTTCTACGTGATCTCGAATAGATTTGATCCTTCTCTTCCTGTTAGTTTCTTTTTCAAATTCCCATGACTTTAAAAAATTCTCATATTGTCTTCTCTCTCTGGCATCTCTTTCGGCTAATTTGTCAAATATGGATTCTCGTTCCTTCACGATTTTACATTGACCGCGATCGCGAAATCTGTGACCGTAGGAAATGTTGGCAGTTCCTGTAAAGTCTTGTGGATATTTTCTACGTTTAGTTTGAACACATTCAACCTTTGGCAAAGGTAGGAGACTCATTTTTGGGGATTTCAAGGGACCGAGTAAATATCGGTCTTGCAATAACCACGAAAAGCTGAACTGCCAGTCCTTTCTACCTAAACCAAACCAAACTAAACTTCTCTTTCTTCTTGTTCTACTTGTTTTCCTTCCTTTCCGTAACTGAGGTTACCATAGAGATTTACGCTTGTTGTTTCGATGTCTCGTTCGAGTAAAAAGAGAGAGAGAGTAGCTTGTTCTCAGCGAGTTTATGTCTTGAATTACATACTCTCTTGATTGGTATCCTCCGAGTTTTTAGAAACTAACCGTGTTAAATTACCGTCTTCTATTCGATATTTTTTATAGCTTCCATCGAATGAACTCAGCTACCTAGTAACTGAAGTATCATGATTATATTTCAAGAATAAAATATTGTACATAGAAAAAGTGAACAAGTAAATAGTAACAATATTGAATATCTATTGAATGTTCAAAATGAAAAAATATTTGTTACACCGTATGAAAAAAAAAAGAAACAAACAAACAAATCAACGAAATGAAATTGCATTTATAAAAAGTAATCAAAAGATGGCGTTGACAATAATTTATTTCTCAAAAGTAAGATAATATTTAGAAATAAATAATAAGTAGATAGGTAGGTTGTAATGGTCATACTAACCTGGCGCAGGGGATACCATGATCAACGAGGTGGTTCCCCCAGGACTGAGGCTAATTGCTGAAGCCTGTAAGTACTCCTAAAGCGAGTATTTGTGCGTTTAATTTTTGCTAGTGCGTGTGGGGTACATGCGGGTTAACGCAGGCCCCATGCCACATTAACTTAGATAAAAAAGATACAAAACAAAAAAAAAAATAAATAAATAAAAGGAAGATTCCTCGTCCCTTTTTTCTCAACATATAACGAAGAAAGACGCAAACGTTAGGAAATCTTCAAACGGGGTAGATTGAAGATTGTTCTTGTCTCTTTCCTTTTCTTTTTTAATCTTTCTTCACGTTTCTTGTCATCGAGACGGTATTGTAAAGCAAAAGAACGAGTGAGAGTAGTTTGAAAATCGGTGTCCTGCTTCGAACGATTCCAACCCGTTCGAGTTGGCGAGTTGATTTGACGACAACTTGGGGGCCTACTATACTAGTTTCTAACATAAGTCGCTAAACTGAGATCCCCATGGGTAGGCAGGGATTTTCATCTTCAACGTGTAGCACTAAAAAGAAAGGAATCCTCCTCTCGTGGAGACATTGACATCGTCATCTTACACACAGCTCCGGGAGCTTCTTAACATGCTTCCCAAGTGTTTTTCAGACAACAGCAAGAAGATTCTGGAGAGTGATAGGTAGAGAGAGAATCAGCAGTAGAATCAGCAGCAGAAAATCAGTCAGCATGAAGATGCAGCGCACGGTAGTAGAGAGTGTAGTCTCGCGAATTGCTGTTCAATCAAGAATTTCACAATGGGGCCACCACCAGTAAGTATTATCTGGACGGTTCTCTTCTTTTTTTCCCAATGGAAAATAACCCTAGCGAATTCTTTCAAACTGGGCTTCTCAAAGACATGACATTATTATCTTCAGATCCGTATACAATCTCTCCTCGTACAATCGTAATCAAATTAAATCAAATAATAATAATGAAAACTCGAACATATGATCATATTCGATCAAACGTTTGACAATGTAATAATAAGAAAAATTAAGAAGAAAAAGAAAAAAACTATAAATCATGATATATCTTGGTTCTTTCATTACATTTGTTGTCTCATATTAAATCTCACAATTGGCTATACAATCAAACTATTTGTACATGTGTATACACATACGATATTATACACATGGACGATATCACACTCACACGTGCAGCCACAAATTGTCGCGTTTCGTTATACTTTTCTTTCTTTCATTCTTTCATTTTTCATTTCTTTATTTTTCCTTATCATTCTTATTCGTATTCTTTTTTCTCTTCTTTTAGAGTGGGAAAGAAAAAAAAAAAAAAAAAAAAARAAAAAAATTTCATAGATTAAAAAAAAAAAAGAACGCTTGGCGGTTTATCCTATGAGAATTGGAATGGTGCTAAACGCGCGAATTCGCGAAGGTAACGCGATAATAGGCCAAGGGAGGGGGGTTGGGAGGTGTGGGAGGGGGTAAGGTCAATGTGTAAAATGGCATATCGTACCTTTAAAAACACACATTTAACGTTACGCACCCTAAGACGAGGATAATTTTGGTTGGTTTCGCGCCGGGAAGCAAAATGTTTCTAACAATACACACGTGGGAAGTTCGAACGCGAGGAAGAAATAATTTTTCTTTCCTCTTATTTTTCTTTCCTTCTTACTTTCTTACTTCTTTGATGTTTCTTTTTTTTTTTTTTTTTTTTTTCATTACTTTTTTTTTATATATATATATATATATATCCTATGTTTAATATTTATATACCACGAGATCGACAAGAAACTTATTATAATTACAGGGGGGATTTAATGAGAATTAACGAAGGAACGAATTATAAAATGAACTTAACGAACGAATTAACAAACGAATTAACGAGCGCGAAAATAATTGACGATATGATATTGGGTGATACTTAGAATTAATATTATAATAAGTAAGGGTGTTTATGAATGTTTTAATATAAAATCCTTACCCGTGTCAAGGTTTTGTCATTAAAAAAAAAAAAAAATGGGGAGAAAATCGAACGCTCACGAATAAAATCTAATGAAAACGTTATGATACAATATTGCGCCGAGAAATTATTATATATATATATATATAATAATTATTAATAATATAATTATAATTAATTAATTAATTAATAATAAAAATAATAATAATAATAATAATAATGTAATGCAGGACATTAAAGGCACGGATTCGTACGTATAAAATATGTATAAACGCGACGAGATGAAAAAACGAGGGGAGGATCGAGAGGGCGAAGAAAAGATTTTTTACGGGGAAACAGAAGAAAAAAAAAAAAAAAAAAAAAAAAAGAAGAAACAATTAAAAGTAATATTTTTGTTCGTATGAATTAATTAATACCTACGTAAACGTGTAGAGTTATCGCGCATTCGTCGGATGTAATAATGTGATTTTTTTTTGTTGCATTTGCCATGAATTTCTTATATATATATATGTATGTAAAAAAAAAAAAAAAAACAGCACAACACGAATGGAGAGAGTACTTTCGAAGAACGCTACTGATTTTTTTCATAATGATTTCCTTTTCTTTGTCTTTTTTTTTTTTTTATTCGAATAGAAGAAGAAATAATTAAAAAAAAAAAAAAAGAAAAAAGAAGAAAATTTGCTAAAAAGCTAAGAAGATTAAAAAAAATTTACTAAATAATAATATTAATAAACGTGGAAGGTTTTCGAAATAATGTTTAAAAAAAAAAAAAAAGAAGAAGGGTTTGCTCGCGTACCTAAAAAAAACAACGGGGGGTAGGTCGGGGTGCCGCTCTCGATTCTCTCGTTATCTCAATTTGTCATTCATTCTTTCTATCTATCTCTATCTCTCTTTCTCTCTCTTTCTCTCTCACATTCTCTCTCACTCTCTATTCTTCATATTGTTTACTTTTCATCAGTGTCTTCTTTTTGCTCATCATCGTTCGTGATTATCCTTTACTTTAAAAAAAAAAAAAAAAAAACACCTGGTACGCGAGCACGATTAACAACAACCAACAACAACAACAATACGATTTAATCTCGAATTTGATGATCCACGGTGGTTAGGATCGATTATGTCAAATTCTCGTACAATACTAAGGTGCCGAACTGGTGCCAGTAGTATTGCTATTGGTATTATTATTGTTATTGTTGCTGTTATTGTTATTATTATTATTATTACTGTTGTTGTTGTTATTATTGGTGTTATTGTTGTTGTTGTTGTTGTTATTGTTATTATTATTGTTAGTATTATTATTGTTGTTGTTGTTGTTCGTAGCTGAGGTATTGTTAGATGTGGACACCCCTGTAGAACTTGGTACCGTGGTGGGCATCGTTGGTGGCGCGTAAGGACTTCCACAGAGTTGGTCAGCTATTCGACCACCTTCGCGAAGTCCGCTCAAGAATGCACCGTGCACCGTAGCCGGATAATTACGGATCGTATGTTCGCCTGAAATCAGACAACAGTTTGCTTTTCGTTTATCCATAGAAAATGGACGTACCTTTGTGTTTTCTTTTTTTAACTTTTCGTGATATATATAAAAGAACGTAAGATAAAATATAAGTTCGTTCATTCTTTCTTTCTATCTTTATTATTTTCTGATTTTTTTGATGGAAAAGGTTGTGCAACTTAAACATAAATGAAAGTTTAAGAATTAAATCGTAACAATAGTACGCTTTAATTTTTAGAACACTTTGTCATCGGATGTAATGATGTGGGATGAACGAGAAAAGAAGATTCCTACTACTTTTTTTTCTTTTCATTTTCTCTCTATCTCTTTCTTTCTTTCTTTCATTCTGTCAGAAAAGTCTTTCACGTAACAGTTTGCTCGCGGTTTTGATCTCGAAAGACGAGAGACTTAAAAATGGTACGTGGTTCGATGAAACAAAAAAAAGAGAAAAGGAATCTTTTCTCTCTTATTTACTCCTTTCTTTATTTCTATATCTTTCTCTTTCTCTATCTTTCTTTTTGACTCTTATATGACCTTTTTTAGGTCACCCAAATTCAAGAAAAAAAAAGCATTGAACATGGTACGTGAAAGGAACCCACACCGAACAAAGTCACGTAACGAAGGTACCGCTGTGACTGCTGCTTCTGCAGGCCCATTGAAGAAGAATCTTCTAACGCTCGAAATATATACGCTAGCGACAAATGAACATAACAGCAGAGACAGAAAAAGAAAAAATGAAAAAAAGGAAAACCTTTTTCTTTAGGATCGTTTGGCACGTTCGTTACTACGCGTTCCTATGAAAAGAGTAGAAAGATCGTTTGCATTGATGATGATATTTGGCGATGATATCTGGAAAAAATAATAATAATAATAATAATAATTCGGTATGCAGCATCCACAGCAATTGAACAAACGTTCATAGTCCTGTAACACCACCGCGAACACACATTCGTATTACTTTTTTATAACGTCAAATGCGAAAATTTTTATTCCACAATATTCAACAAACAATTCTTTTCGAAGTATCCCCAATTTTAATGAAAACGAACCAAAAAATAATTGGATTATTATTATCATCGGTGAAAAAAAGAAAACGCTTGGCATATATAGTTTTTTGAGAAAGGAGAGGGAGAAGGAGGAAAATTTCTAAAATAAATTGATCAAAACGTGATAATTCTCACCGGCAAAGAATACTCTCGGTTGCGGTGGCGGTGTGCCCGGAGGATAATTGGGTGGCGCTGGTGGTGCTACCGGTGCAGCAAGAAGATCGTAATCACTTCCGGAACTGCCGACTGCTACGAAGCTGTACGAGCCACGGGCCCAAGGATCGGCACGCCATCTTGTAACGACACTCTCTCGCGGTTGTGGGACTACTTGGTTGCCAAAGATCGTCTGTGGAAATACAAACGACGTTCGAGCTAATCGAAGAACACAATTTTTCTTTTTGCTTTTTTTTTCTTAATCCTTTTTTTTTTTTTAAGTGAAAAAGAGAGAGAGAGAGAGAGAGAGAAAAGAAGTCTTGTAAAAGTTCACCCACCTTGAGGACCGAGATACATCGACCAATGATAACGTCGTCGCTGACATTCTCCATTACGCAGGCTGCCTCTCCAGCGACGAGGGCCAACAGGACCGGCGCTTTGTACAGGTTCCAGAACAGGAAGAGTTCACCTCTCGAGGCGGTCGTACTACCCACGTGCCCGAACAAGTTTGCCGTTGGATCCCAAAAGATTCTTTCGAAGCATAATACTACCTGAAAATGTTTGCATTACCCTTTTCTTCACTAGGTAGAATAACAATAACCCCTTTTCTCGCGCAACCTTCTTTTCATTATTATACTACCCATAGAAATGTTTAACAATACACGTAGTACGAGAAGAACATAATATAATTGCTTTTAAAAAAGATGAAAGGATATAATAAAATAGTAAAGAAGCCAATTTTCTTCTTCTTCTTCTTCTTCTACTTCTTTTTGTATAGACTTTTTTTTAGGATTATTATAATATAATTTAGAAAAAAAATTATGTTAAAAAGCGTGTATAAAGTGTACTACTGTGCTGTCGTGTGTAATATTGTAAATACATGTTAATACGTCGTTTAAAATCACGAGTCAGTATATAAACATTAGGTCTTACCTTATTTAAATTACCAAAGCCGAGCCTTTGGATGGCTTGAGACTTCCAATCCGGAAGCGGAGGGTTGAAAGCAACCGCCGAGGGTGGAGCGGAAGCTTTAAGAACACCAAGCGGTAGCGTAACCAAAACAGCGTCGGCTTTATATACGGTATGATTTGTGTGGAGGCTACGAGAGGGTGCAGCCCATACTTCTACGCCATTTACTCCGTACCGAACGGCCCTCGCAGCTGTGTTCAATCGAATATCGAGTGTTTCCGAGAGAGCAACAGGTACGCACGAATATCCATTGCGAACTGGAATAAGAAGAAGAAGTAGAAGAAGAATAATAGGGGAACAAGTCAAAAGACGAATAATAATACTAATATTGAATATCAAACGAATATATTTCTAAGTGTGTAGCATAAAAGGGGGCTGAGTGGGGGAGGTAATATTCAAAAGTTAATCGCTCGATAAATATTATGGAAACGAGAAACTATCCTTCAAGACTAGAAATTGCTGTTTCTGTTCAATAGAAATATAGATTTCGATCAAAATTATAATTCTACTATTTTTTGGCCAACAAAATTCGCTTTCTCTCTCTCTCTCTTTCTCTTTTTCGAGAATATTTTTGAAAAAAACACGTTTCCTTGCATTATCCACGAAACGCGAAATTAATAATATCACATCAACGCGTTAACAAAAACATTAAAGAAACAAATTCGAAATAGAAAAATTATATATGACCGGAATTGCGATACATACGCGATGTCTCCGCGTGTGTTTTCCACGCTTAATTACCCTCGAGGACATCAAAATGAGACAAGACGGCATGCGAAATTGAAACGAAACGCGACACGCGGCGGGAGAATCGGATTTAAGAGGAAACGAATTGGATGGTGTGGGGATGTGGGGGGGGGTTGGGTTTGGTTGGAACAGGATGAGACAGGACGAACTCGCTTTAAAAGGACAAGCGGAGAAGGAGAAGGAGGAGAGTAGAGAGAATGAGCTCAACAAGAGACATAAATTTGGAGCAGAGGGTTCTCGGTTCACTTCGAAACACCATGAAAAGAACGACGAAGCCGTTTTGGTGAGAGTGGAAGAAGACACGCGCGTTGATGCCGTGGACGCATCATCGTCATTATCGCTTAAACGGATATTTCGCTGGTTGGCACGCTTAAATCAGAATATATATTCCTCGTCTGCTCATCGAATGGACTTTTAAAACGGGGTGAGAGGATACTCGACGATGTGCCAGCCAGCCAGCCAGCCAGCCAGCTAGTCAGCCAGTCAGCCAACCAACCAGCAAGCAAGCAAACAAGCAAGCAAGCCAACCAGGACGTTGAAGATGGCGAACCAAGCAGTCCTAATAATGATACACGGACGTCTCCACTTAGGCCATTTAATTATGTTGATGGCTGAGCAGCACGGTTCCCGTGCTAACAGCCACCGCCACCATTACCACCATGGTAGTTCTCTCATACTCTCTCTCTCACTCACTCTCTTCTAACATTGCAGCTACTGTTGTTACTGCGTTTCGGCTAACATACCCTATCAAACACCCAACCTATCTATCTACCTACCTACCTACCTACCCAACCTGCATCTCTCTCTCCATTCCAGAAATATAAATTTACCCTCTACCCGTGATATATAAATTAGCGTGTTTCCAGTTCGAGCTGAAACGCATTATCAAAATATTCCACCGAACCGGAAAGCACTCCCCCTGCACCAGAGAGAGAGTGAGAGAGTGAACTGCGGATTGGGAGAATATAAAGATAGACGCTGAATATTCTACCTCGTAGTTTCAATTTATCATACCGTGGTACTATTACTACTACTACTCCTCTTTCCCCTTCTTTTTTTTTCTTTCTCTTTTATTTTTATTTGTATCTCTACTTTTTTTTTTTTTTAAATTTCTTTTTCTGTTTAAACATGAACGTTCTCTCACTATTCGTATTCGTCGAATAATTTCAAAATGCGAAACGATACGAACTTGTTATTATTTCAACTACGATTCATTTCCCCTTTCCATTCCCATTCTCTTCTTTCTCTCATTTTCTCTTCCGCCTCCTCCTCCTCCACCTCCTCCTCGTCATCTTCTTCTTCTTCATATTTCTCTTCCTCTTCTTCAGCGAACCGTCGTTACCGTTACTTTGATTCGGCTAAATTTTGGTTTGTTACGGCGTCGATTATCGCAAACCCCCCTTTTGTAATAAGCGAGAGAATATTCAACAGTCGAGCGAGAGAATAATCCGAAACCACCAGAATTATGGTAAGCCTGGGGTCCTCTTCCTCTTCCTCCTCCTCTTCTCTCCCTCTGTCTCTTTCTCTCTTCTTCCCAACGGATAACTCCGGGAATGGGGAATTAAGCCCTTGGCAATGAGGCGACTCTGAGTCGACCGAAATCGCTGATAGAGAGAGGAACCAGGACGAATATCTCTTTCTCTATCTGTTACTATCCTCCGTCTTACTGTCAAACGCGTTGATTGCCAACGGGTATTAAAGCTCTTAAATGAAGTAGTCAATTAAAAGTATTCATTGTCGATTTAATCAAACAAAAAGAAAAAGAAAGAAAAACACGTTTAAACCACCCCCGTCATCCGTTCAAGAAATTCCGATAAGTAACGTAAACAAACTTAAAGTAGCATAAAAAGAAATGGGGTTAAGAGAGATAAAATAAGAAAGAAAAAAAGAAAGAAAGAAAGATTTGTTCGAGGCTCAGCTTATTATATTCTTTGAAAATATATCCTCCGCAAAGTAATAAAAAAACCATAAGAACTAGAGAGAGAGAGAGAGAGAGAGAGAGAGAGAGGGAGGGAGAGAAAAAAAGGGGTTGTAGTCAATGTGGTAGGGTGGAATGAATGAGGTAAAGGAGCAAGCAACCTACCAGGAGGAAGTAAATATTTGAAAAGCTTCCTCTGGTGACATGAAACTGCTCGCGTTTGACAAGAAAGCAGAGCAGAAAAAAAAAGAGAGAGAGGAGAGAGGTTGAAGAGGAAGAAAATATGAAAGGGTAAGATAGGGATGAAAAAAAAAGGAAAGAAAAGAAAAGAAAAGAAAAATACCGTAAGAGAGGACGAATCATGTTGGACTCGAAGACGAAAAGTTGAAAAAAAAAAAAAAAACGGAAAACAAAAAGAAAAGAAAAGAAAAAGGTAGAAATGTTCTCGGTAAAGTGATAGAAGAGGGAGGGGGGAGGATAGAAGATCTCTTTTTACGGGACACTTTAACTCTGTTCTATCTCGTGCATCGCGCTGCGAAAAAGTAACGTCGCACATATTTTTATATAAAATATATATATGTATGCATGCATAAGGTAAAGAGTAGGTAATACCCGAGTGAATCAACGACGAAACAGTGGCAACCAATGGTAAAAGCAGAAGCGGCAGAAACAGTAGTAGTATTAGTATTAGGATTAGTAGTGGTAGTAGTAGTAGGATATACCACCCTCTCACAAGCACCACCACCACCACCACCACCACCGTCCGCCTCTTCCTTGTCTTTCGTTTGATCTCCACTCGCAGTATTTTTTGACGGTCGAGTCGAACAATTTGTATGCCGCGGTGGTTTTCAATTTACATTTAAATTGGTTGCTTATGGCGTTCTGTCGTCTCGACGGGAGCCGGGTGAGAGGGTGAGGACTGAGGGTGAGAAGAGTAGTGGGGAAGGGGAGTGTTAGCCGATGGACCATGCCGCTAGTGGTGGTGGGGTTGAAAAAAGAAGGGAAGAGAAGAAGAAGAAGAAGAAGAAATATAAGGGCCGGCAAAGCTGTCCCTTTGAACAGTCGAAAAGCTATGAGAATGGTAAAAGTGTATTATTTTCTTACGAGAAAGAGTACTGGGCCCGATTACGACTGGCTACAACCTTGCCTTTTGCTTGTGTGTCTTCTTATTCTTTTTTTTTTTTTTCTATTTTTATTTTTATTTTTATTTTTATTCTTTTTCCTTTCCTTCTCAAGCCGTCCGCCCATCCAAATCATGATCCTTCGAGATATGACCGATGGTGAGACACGCGAGAAAGAGAGAGAGAGAGAGAGAGAAGAGAATGTGAGCGTGGAAAGGAACGAATCCTGTTTGCTCGAGCAAACGTGCTCCTCTTCGTTCGTCGATCTCTTCTCTTACGACTCGTTTCTCGCACACTTACGTTAACAGCGGTTGGTCCGCGCTTTTCTCTCTTCTTCTTCCTCCTCCTCCACCACCTCCACCACCTCCTTCTTCTCTTCTTCCTCTTCTTCTGCTTCTTCTTTCTTCGTCTTTCCGATCCCGCTTCGATCGCAAAGGCCTTATCAATTTCGACGGCTGCTTAAAGCACTTGCCGAAGTATCATGAACCATCCTTCCTTCCATCTTTTTCTTTCTTACTGCATACTCTAATTGTCTTTAATCGTAATTACTAGCTCGATAACGAGCGGAGTCCCTGTAAAATTAGTCTTTGAACTTTCTTCTTCTTCTTCTTCTTATTATTATTATTATTATTATCTTTGTAATCCTTCTCTCTTTCGTAGTCTCGAAAATAATATTATCTCTACAACCAGAAAGAGAAATAAAGAGAAATAGAAAGATGGTAGAGACGGATAGAAAATGTTAGACAACGAGAAAAATATTTAACGGCTTGATTTCGTGGCTCTTTACTCTCTCTCTCTCTTTCTCTCTTTCTTTGTTTCTTTTTCTCGTGGCTTTTCTTATCGCTAAATTTAACGCCGATGTTGCCGTATAATTTGTTCTGATCGAGATTAAGTTAATTGGAGTCGGTTTACGATTTATGACGTTAGACGGTGAGCTAAGTAGGGTGGTGGTGGTGGTGGTGGTGGATAGAAAGAAGAGAAGGTGGGAAGTTGGGAGGAGGCTGGGAGGGGGTGAAGGGAAGGGATGATTCCTAGATCGCACTCTAGTAAGTAAGTAACGCAAAAGAGATCGATATCGGGTTTAGGGATTTATCACGAGGCGTCGGACATTCTGTGCAAATGAGCTCGTATCTCCAAGCGAATATATACAGACACACATAATATACTTTTGTCTAAACTCGTGGAATACCGCGTTCATTAACCCTATCGATTTAATTTATGTTATCGAATACCCTTCCCCCTCATCTCACCCCCCTCCCAAAGTGCCTACCCCTGTAATAGAAACACATAAAATATTGTCTTACTAAATCTTGTATTCTCGTGATCTCACTTCTTGCTAGACGATCGAGATCGTATATAATTAGATGCGAAATAATTCGAACATTTATTGAAATTATTTGTCGTATATGTCTCTGTAGGAAAGATGGATTAACGAGAGATTACTTTTTTTATTCTTTTTTTTTCTTTCTTTTTTTTTT